ATATAAAACCCATGAAACAGTGAGCCGCAAAACAGTGAGGGACTACAGTATGCTTCCTACTGAAGCCTGAGAATAGCAAACGGTGTTAATTGAATTCTACTGCTCACTGATCTTTAATATAAAATATACAATATTATTTCATAGGTGAAGTTTAAAAACTGAGAAAAGATTTTGTGAGAGTCAAAAGTACAGTTAAGTTTATGTCGTCCATTTCTAAGCTCTTTACAAAGTTTCATGCTCTTCTTATTTCTTATTTTTCCTTTTCCCTTTTGCTTCCTATCTCCATAAATATTATTAGATTATTAGGAGCTGTTTTGTGCTGAATGCTGTTTTTCTACAGTGTCATTTAACTTTTGAAAATTGTGAAACAGCATAGCTCGTGCCGTAACAGAAATAATGACAAAACAGCTGAGTAGCTCCTTGGGTGGTTTTCTTCCCATCAACAATTACTTCTTCAGTTACAAATATTTTATCCCAGGCTGGGGAGGTAGCTCAGTAGAATAAGCGCTTGCCTGCAAGTGCAAGGGCCTGAGTTCAATCCCTGGTTCTGCAAAAAAACAAACAAACAAAAAAAAAATCCCTTTATGATAGGATGATCAATAAAAGTGTCCCGCCAACTTCCCTTACCTCAGCTGGTACAGTTTCAGCTTCCTTGCTTCTGAGAGGGCTACCTGTTAACAATAGATATGTTTTATTCTTCATAAAACAATAAAACCCTATTTGCATGTATGCTTATTAATAAACCATTACTTTTTTTCTCACCACAATTAAAAAACTATGTGAATCAAAGCAAATATCCAAAAGTCAAGGTGCCTAGTGAGAATAGCCGGATGAGTCACATATGGGAAGGTAAATGAGAATATGTTGAAGAACACGTACTAAGTCATAAGATTTCTACTTTTTTTTTTTTTTTTTGCAGAACTGAGGATAGAACTCAGGGCCTTGCCCTTTCCAGGCAAGCGCTTTTTCTACTGAGCCATCTCCCCGGCCCCTTACTTGGTTTCTAATTAGTGGTATACGTGTGTGGTGCACAACATTTACATTTCCTATGGGAAGCCCGGATGTGTACATAACACATCTTCATTAGTTTTTCATCCTGCTCCCTCTCCACATCCTTCTTCTCTTAATCTGCTGTCTCTTCCTTTTGGGTAATGTTTGTAGTACACCATGTTTACACTTCTTGTGTGAGGAGGTACATGTAGCCAGTACAGTCCATTTCCTTTTCTCCATTTCCTATCCCACATTTCTTTCCCTCTTCTATCTCTTGATTCCCTCCCTCTTTTTTATGTATTTAGTAGAGGGTCTACAGGGTCTCACTACATAGATCAGACTTGTAGTGATCCTCCTGTTTTCAGCCTTCCAGGTGCTGGGATTACAGGCTCCCATCACCACGCCCAGTGTCAATCGCCATCTCAGCACACCACCAGGGGGCGGGGCCGGCATGGCACTAGGGATTGAACCCAGCTGCTGCGCTCTGCCTAAGCAGGTGCTTAAGTCCGCTGAGCTATTTGGCCGGCCCTCACGTTGATTTTATATCCTGCTGCATTGCAAAATTCATTTATCAGCTCTAAAAGTCTCTGATGGAGGAGTCTTTAGGTTCTTCTCAATATAAGATCATATAATCTTTTCAGATCAATAATCTGAAAGTGGGGCTTTTTCCCCCTGTGGTGCTGCTTGGCCTGCAGGTCTGTGTAGGGCCGCGGACGTGAGTCTATATTACACAGGATGGGTTTTGTTAAGGTTGTCAAGAATAAGGCCTACTTTAAGAGATACCAAGTGAAGTTTAGAAGATGACAAGAGGGCAAAACTGATTACTATGCTAGGAAACGCTTGGTAATACAGGACAAAAATAAGTACAACATGCCTAAATACAGGATGACAGTTAACAGAGACATCATCTGTCAGATTGCTTATGCCTGTATTGAAGGGGATATGATAGTCTGTGTGGCATACACAC